TATTGCTCACATAATTCAACAATTTTTTCTTTTAAAGTTTCAGGTTGGTTTTTATTTGTGACTTGAATGTAACCAGGTAAATCTATTAAAGTCAAGTCAGGAACATTGGGTGAATAGATACGAAGTTCAATTGGTTTGTTGGAAACACATTCAGACTCTGGTACTGCCAAATTAAGATCACGTAATGTTTGTTGTATATGTAAAAAATCATGTATTTTTCCTAATCCAAGTTGAGGAAATTCACCATATTCTTCTTTAGATTTAGACGTATGTATTAATGTTAGCTCAATTGGTCTCCGAGTGACCATATTTGATCCTCTGAAAAATCAGTTAAACAATCAAAAAATATGCATATTCTTAATATTATATTAAAATTTAAATATTAAAATCAAAGAAAAAAATAAAATAAAAGGAAAACCTTACTTTGGCAAAAATTCATGACCAACAATTGCTTCTAATACAGAACTTTTACCAGAGCTTTGACTACCAATTACTACAATACTTGGTAATTTTAATGCCTCTTTATGATCAATGCTCATTAAAATATTACGAACTTCTATCAATTTTTTTGTAAGCACCATGAATTCATCATCTTGTGCTGGAATACCACGTTTATTTTTATGTGCTCCAGAATCTTCACCATCATTCTCATCATTATCTTTTTCTCCGGTCATAAATAATGAAGCTGCAGTTGCAGCAGCAGCAGCTGATGATGATGATGGACCATTATTACCACTATTACCACCACTAGATGATTCTGAATCGCCTTCATCCTCCTTTTTGATAAACTTTGGTCTATCTGAATCAGCCTTGAATGAATTTGACGATGATTTTGATTGAGTTGGATTTTTAGAAAACATATTTTTTACAAAACCGGGTATTTCTATTCCAACATTCATATTTGTTAATCCACCAATTGATCCTATTGCAGACTTTACACCATTCGTTAGAGATCCAAGTATTTCAGAACTTTTATTTGCCATATCTACAATAGATTATATATATATAGATATATATAAATATTTACATACACGTAAAAATACTTTTCATTTTGTTCATAAAATATATTTGACTTACCATTAAATTTATAATTTGCATATGTCAAACCACCAACCCCTAATGTAAAACCAGCTGCAGGTATTCGCATTGCATGAAAAACAAATCTTGGAACTGAATATACTGAAAATGATCTTATTTGTAGATCTGTTCTAACTAATGCAAATTTTTTATGATTAACTTGAATTAGTCTGTAATTGTGGCTACCAGAAAACATTAATCCAGAAGTATTCTTTATGAAACTTGTGGTAAGCAAAGTAGATGCACTTGCCATAGTTTTTCTCATAATCAGGCGATCCATGATTTTTAATTTGGAAAAAGAATTTTGTTCCAAAAAAAAAATTTAAATCAAATCACAAATCATGTGCAACAAAACCCAAATGTAGTAGATTCAATTTACATATAAAACTAGAAGACTATTTTTAACAAATTGGGTAACTAATTTTAGCTCTTTAAATCTCATTTTTAATAATTAGATAATGTATATTATTATATGGGGCATGCTGTAACAAAACCAGACAAAGTGAACATTGGTATTGTTGTATGTGAGATTGAAATTATGTGAAATTGAAATATTATGGAATGGGGTGAAATTCTGATTGGCTAATTTGAATTTCACATATGTAAATTTGAATTTCACATATTCACATAATTTCATTTTCACATACAACAGACCCAAAGCCATTTTTAAGTATTACCTATTCTTTGGGCACTGACAAAAATCTAACCTTCACTATTACTACTGCTATTCTTTTTATTATTATTGATAATATTATTATTACTAATATTTATATTTTTGTTGTTTTTATTATCTTCTTCATCTTCCCTCTCCACCACTTTCTTCTTCTCTTTCTCAACCCACTTCTGAATTGCTTCTATTGTTTTCCTTTTAGGATTTGTTTTCTGTTGGTAAAATTTTTTTATTGTGGAAGCAACAACACCTTTTTCCTCTGCAAGTATTCACGAATTTCAATGATCATTTTACTGAATGAAAAATTTGGATTTAGTTCTGTCTTTTTGTCAAATAATTGTTTGAAACCCTTCCATAAATTTTCTATTTCTTTTTATCACTAGTAGGTTTGTTTGTTTTATGTCTCTTTCTTGGTTCTATTCTATTGATTTGATCAATTTTTTGATTTATAATAGAGAACTAATTTTGATAAGTTTTATAGTGAAACAAGAAACCAAGAAAAAGTCCAATTAACAATCTGCAAAAAAAATTCACTATTGAAAGTGTGCATGTTTAAAATTTTATTATGAATGAAAATATTGTGTAAATATTTATTGATTATTTGATTGTTTTTAAACTAAAATAAAATTGTGTTAATGATTATTATTTAATTTTTTTTTATCTGAAAATAAATGGACTGGTGATACTTTTATAACATTCCAATACAAAGCAGGATTATTTATTTTGTTTCAATATCAATGAGAAAAAACAAAAATTTATATTCTTGAATGTAAAATTTGATCAAACTTTTTTTTTTAATGATAAGCAATGCAATATTATAATCTTCTTTGTATATAGTAAAAAATATAAATCAATATTGCAACAATGAATTATTTTCCTTCTAAGAATTTCTGCTTTTTGTTAGATGATAGCATACCTTCACTCTGCTTTTTTTTTAACATTTTATGATTTTTCTTTCTTCTTGGTAAATTTAATAAGTAATCCTTTCTTTTCTTAGATAAGCTTCAAGTGTCTGAGTATCATTTATTTTGAAAATATAGGGTGCAATTTTTTCACCTTGTTCCTTTTTTAAAATACTTCTAATGGTGGTGCTATAATTTTTGGGTTCCATAGTAGATCTGATGTAAATTAGCTTCAAATTAATTATTTTTATATAGGAGGATAGTTCTATATATCACTTAACAAATGGGACATTATAAAACTAATTGTGATGATAATAGCTAAATTTTGATCCCTGAAATTCTTGGTAATACCAATGTTCACTTTGTCTGATTTTGTTGCAGTATGCCCCATATATAATTTTATAATTTTATGTTCACTTTGTAGTTTTTTATTAAATGTAAAAAATGGCTATAAAATTGTTATATAAACTTGTTAAATTAAGTAATGAAAAATAATTATTGATATTTATTTTATATAAATTCATTAAATTCCTAAATCATTATCTTCTAGAAAAATATCTTAATCAATAATATTACAAAAAAATGATAATACAAATCTAATTGTTTATTTTTAAAAGAAGAAATAGCTAAAATGTTAAATTCAATAATCTAAAATCATTAAATCTAATATTTTAAAAAGTATTAAATATGTGTTTAGATTAAAAGAATAGACAAAATTTGCAAAGCCTCTTTTGTTTGATATAAGATCACCATATTAAAAACCCTTTTTTAATTCTGTATTTAGCATGTACAAATCATAATCTGGTAGGATTTCTCCTCCAATATTGACACTGGGATGCCACACATCAATCTCTAGATTCAGGAGGGGTGGATAGACAACTTCCAAGACAATAGTATATTTTATTAAATTCAAAACATATAAATAGGACAGCCATCCCCTCATTTTTTTTGAAAAATTTGAATATTTTCACAAAATCGGATCTTAATCTTTATTATCATCCTCAAAAATGGTGATTCATTGTTGTTGTTTGCACTTGTTGCCATAGTTGGCTTGGTCTAAAGACCTCCTAAATTTTGGGCAAATTTTAAAAGTATAGAAGTCACTTCTGTCTTATCTTTTAAAAAAATAGCTCTATTAGTTGATAGAATATGACTTTAGTTTTAATGTAATAGAGAGATATTCTCAAAAAAATTCTTTGTTGTAGAGTTCTATTCTTTTTTAAAACATGTAATTTACTATGCTTGTGAGGAATTTGTCCACTATGATCATTTCTAAATTTAGTAAGAACATTACCAAATTTAGACTAGCTCTTGACTATCGTATCTCAATTTGGCAGTAAGAAAACTAAAATCACGTGAAGTCCTATTTTTTGAAAATTTTATTACATTTTTGAACGAATTACAAAATTGCTATTTTGAAATTTGGCCGCATGGCACAGCAATAGGAGGTCTTTAGACTGAGCCAACCATACATTCATTGATCATTTAAGGAAAAGAAAAATGAATCATGATGATAAAGAAAATGATGGTTTTTTGAGTACACAAACTTCTCCCAAAAAACCAAAACCTCAAACAATGAAGTTAAAATTTAAAGGAATGGATATGCTTTAATAATGTAAATGCAATGAAGATTTCCTTTGGAGTTAATTAATTTCCTTCAGAATAATAAAAATGGATATACATTGTTAAAAATAGGAAAATAAGAAGAATAAAATTAATAACTGCTTGTTGTGAAATTGTAGAGGTCCAAAATTATATATGTGTTATAATCTTACATTGGGAAGTTAAACACATGTGGTTCAGTGCATTGTTCAATGTCATGTGCTGATCAACATAAAATCATTTTGTTCTGCAAAGGCAACATCAAACAATATGATAAAACACTAATGTGGACCAATGTGTAGAACAATGCATTAATGTAAATTATTACATGGGGCATACTGCAACAAAACCAGACAAAGTGAACATTTTCACTACTAAGGATTTCAGGGATCAAAATTTAGTCATTTTGTAATGTGTTTATAATTAAAAGCTATATAATAATCCCATTTGTTAAGTGATACATAGAACTATCCCTATATAAAAATCATTAATTAGGTCTACCATGGAACCAAAAAATTACAACATTAGAAGTATTTTGAAAAAGGAACAAGGTGAAAAAATTGCTCCTTATATTTTCAAAACAAATGATACTCAGGCAATTGAAGCTTATCTAAGGAAAGAAAAGATTACTTATGAAATTTACCAAGAAGAAAGAAAAATAATAAAGAAAGCATCATGGTGACCAGATGGAGTTCCAATTATGGAAGTAATTCCTGTGTATTAGTTTATAAATTTGTTTAATAGTTTATTAATTTTTAAGATATATTGAATTTAGAGTTAACTCAAATACAAGTCAAATTTCCATCTTACAATATATTACATATTAAAAAATGCAAATAAAAAACAATATTTTTTTTCCAGAAATATTAAATTAAATATCTTAGTTTGACTACACTGAAAAATTTTTTAATTTAATCTATCTAGAATATGCGCTTTTTCTATCAATAGTAATTACTAAAAATAGGAAGATACTTTTCAATTCCATAAATTGTTCATTAGTATTAGAATAAACTGATTGTAGAATTTTAACTGGATTTCCTTTTATATAATCCTCACATTTTTCAATAAAGTAGTTAATTGTATAATTGTAGAGTGACTCAAGACCAAGCTCATCCATGTCATTATTTGAATTATGGTGTACAATTTGTAGTAAAGATACTTCCCAGAACCAGGTTCTAAAGTCATGATTAGTTGATTAGTTGGTGTGGATATTGTTGTATTTATTTCTTGGTTTAATTTACCAATGTGATGGTATTTTCCTTTATCAAATGATTTAATATAAGTAATGATTGACATAAAGAAACCAAAGAATCTATTGATCCTTTTTGATCTAAATGATGAAGTGGGAGATCAATTTGTTGAAATGGGTTTATTAAGTAAAATGGTTGCATTTTACAATCCATTATATTAATATCCATTTTTAACTCATGAAAATGAATTGATATAAACACAATATTATCTAATAATAATTTAAGATACTTCAGATTTTTGTTTTTCAATATGTAATATACATATTTATGTGCATCTTTCTGAAATTTACATAATCTAAACCTATCCTCATTTACATGTTTAATGTGATCATGCCCAGTAGCCCAGGGACTATTACTGATCTCTAGAAATAAATATTCATGATTAAAGAAATACCCATAGTTTTCCTCATAAGCATAAAAATCTGGATACCTAGTTATATTTTGGGTGGCATTTCTGAATTTAATAGACTGTGCTGGACATCCATCCCTTTAAATAATAATACATATGTATTAACATATGTAATATCTATTAGAGGCCTGCACGGGTCATCATAATTGAATAAATACCCAACCCGAACCCGTACAAATTTATAATTGGCAACCCGAACCCGACTTGTACACAAAAAAATTATAAAAATCTCAACTCGAACCCGACTTGTACACAAAAAATTATAAAATCTCAACCCGAACCCGACTTGTATACAAAAAATTTCAATCCAAACCCGAACTCAACCCGTTTTTTATTAAATGATGTTGTAACACGATTTTATTTATATTTTTTATAATTTAAATAAATAAAGTAATACATACCTGTGAGCTATACATGATAAATGCCTATAATTTCGAAAAGCTGCCACAAAGTTTGCACCAGAAT